TAACTAAACACACATTGACTGCACTAGCTGTTCTACTAGTGCTGACCGTTACCTACCATCGAACCAGGTTCCCTCCGACATAAATCCTTACGGCCCTGCTGCTCCCTGAACCAACCCTTGTTGATTTCCAGGCAATTCCGGACGCGGAGTTCCAGGCCGCTGTGGCCGTCATTCCATTTGCATGAGACACGACGCCACGTTGCAGTCATGGTATAGCTTCTCTGCGCAGTTTACGTTTTGCATCGAGTTCACTCGACTCAGAGAAAGTGGGGCTGACGTGTGTGCAGGAAGGTTTTGACTTTGAACGGTGCACCTTGCTTGAGATATGAGTGCCTCGAAGCCTCGAAGAGAAAGCTGTGCTCAGTTACATGTCATCGATCGCTGATTGTAGTCTTGCTTTCTTGCCCGCCCCACCCGAATTCGAACAGTTGCTCCACTTTCCTGAGTTGTTTCTTTGTGTGTTTGTCTCGGTCATGTGTGATAGGTTCCTGTTTGAGATGCACGCCTAAGTCCACGGCCGTTCGCTTGCACTGTGATCCAGTGACACCCGTGTCAAATGGAGCACGGTTGTGAGACACCGTACTGACCGGCAATCCTGGCAATGGAAGATTCCGGTGTTCTCCACCACGAGCATGTGCAGTCAGCCGCCCGACCACAGATAGACACGCATGCGCAGAGAATGAGATAGAGAGAGAGAGAGAGAGACAGGGATTGAGAAGTCAAAACAGAAACTTCAACGCCAGGAAGCAGCTGTGCCAGAGATTGCTGCGACTGCAGAGGCGCGGAGTGTTCGTTTGTCTTGAAGTCCTCTGCGGCTAGATTTAGCGCCGGTTGACAGGAGCTAGCCGCAAGTAGGTTGATTTACAACAGGTGCTTACAGCGATACGGTTCTGCGTACTATAAACATACATTGATCGCAGTTGCTGTTCAATTAATGCCGACCGTTGCTATTATTCTGGCACTAGGTGCGGCCCTTCTGCACCCTGAACCAAACGTTGTTGATTTGCAGGCAGTTCCGGACGCGGAGTTCCAGGCCGCTGCGGCCATCATTCCATTAATTGCATGAGACACACTGCAGTCATGGTATAGCTTCCCTGCGCAGTTTTCGTTTTGCTGCTGCGAGTTCACTAGACTCGGAGCGTGTGTGCAAGAAGGTTTATGCTTTGAACGGTGCCCCCTGCTTGAGGTATGTGTGCCTGCAAGAGAAAGCTCTGCTCAGTTACATGCCACAGGTCGCTGATGGTTGTCTTGCTTTCTTGCTCTGCCCCCCCCCCCACCCGAACAGCCGCTCCTCGTTCCTGAGTTGTTTCTTTGTGCATTTGTCTCGGGCACGTATTCTTATACTGTGATCCAGTGACACCCGTGTCAAATGAAGCACGATCGTCAGAGCACGTGCTGACCAGAACTTGGCAATGGAAGACTCCGGTGTTTCCCACCAAGAGTCTTACGAGCATGTGCAGCCAGCCGCCCGACCACAGATAGACACGCATGCGCAGGCAGAGAGAGAGAGAGAGAGATAGAAAAAAAAACGAGACGCACACTTGGATGGCAGGAAACAACTGTGCCAGAAGTTGCTGCAACTGCAGAGGCGCAGGGTGTTTGTCTGTCTTGAAATCTTCTGCGGTTTCACTACCAGCTGACAGCAGCTAGCCGCGAATAGGTTTTTTTGACAGCTGCTCAGCATTGCTGAGTACTGAACGTACAAATTCCCTTCGGCCCTGTTGCCACCCGAACGAACGATTCCCATAGTCTCCTTAGGTTGTTCATATACAAGCCATGAGACGTTTAACACCAACATGTTTATAATGATGGTTCTCAACGGGGGTATAGATTTCCACCTAAACCCTAAACCCTGAACCGAACGGTTTGCAGGCAGAGCCGGTCGAAATCCTGGAGGCCGTTTTGGTCAGCATTCGGTGTTCTTGGGACCCCAACAGCGCAGTAGCATTAGCATAAGCATGTTACAAGGATATCCCTACCTTATTAGGCTGGGATTGATATGTGATATCCCTATCCTCACCTGTGTCAACTGAAGCACGATCGTCGAGCCCGAGTGCTGACTGGCAACTGGAAGATTCCGATGTATGCCACCCAGAATCAGATGAGCTGTGCCAGAGGTTGCTGCAACTGCAGAGTTTTGAAGTATTCTGCGGCCTGATAGCCACAAATAGGTTGTTCATTCCGCACTTATAGGTTATGAGGACAAAGCACTTAGTCTTGGCAGTACTCTCTCAATTACCCTAAATCCCTGCAACCCTTCTGGGTGCCTGCGATTTGGATCCGTGCGGCCCTTCTGCTCCCGGCACAAACCGTTGTTGATTTGCAGGCAGTTCCGGACGATGAGCTGCAGGCCACTGCGGTCATCATTCAGTTTACATGAGACAAGCAGCTTGTTGAGCGATGTGCAGTTTAGTTGCCATTTCACTAAGCTCAGGGAAACTAGGGATGAACCTGTGTGCAGCACATGTACTGCTCCACGCAGTGCACCCTGCTTGGGGTGTGAGTGCCTTGTGGAAAGAAGATGCGTTGAGTTGCATACCGCCGGTCGTCGAGTTGTCTTGCTTTCTTGCAGCTGCTTGGGGTTCGTGGTGGGCACCTTTGACAGGTTCCCTGGTTGAGAAGCATTCGAAAGCCCACAGCCGTTCACTTTTAACTACCGTGTTCCAGTGAGACGTCAGAGCCCATAGTGACTGGCGAACTTGGCAATGGAAGATTCCGATGTTGTCTACCAAGAATCAGAATCAACCGAGCATTTGCGGCCAGCCGCCCAACCACAGACGGAATGTGTCCAGCGAAAGAGATATATATATATATATAGAGAGAGAATGAGAGAGAGAGAAAAAAAGAAAGAAAGAGAGAGAGAAAGGGAGTGAGACAGATAATTGGACGGCAGGAGGCAGCTGTGCCAGAGGTTGCTGCAAGTGCAGAGGCGCAAATGTTTGTCTTGAAATCATCTGCGTCTGGTTTCATCACCAGCTGACAGCAGCTAGCCACAAATAGGTTTTTTAAACAGGTGCTGAGTATTGTTGAGTACTGAACGTACAATCTTGGAGCTAAGCCTTCATTTCCTGCCCATGGCGACTTAGTGCTCGTGGCCCAAAATCCCTGCGGCCCTGTTGCTTCCCGACCGAACGATTTCCATAGTCTCCTTAGTTTGTTCATATACAAGCCATGAGACGTTTGACACCATCATTTTTATAATGATGGATTTCCACCTGAACCCTAAACCCTAAACCGAACGGTTTGCAGGCAGAGCCGGTCGAAATCCTGGAGGCCGTTGCGGTCAGCGTTCGGTTTTTGGGGACCCCAAAAGCGCACCAGCATTAGCATAAGCATGCTACAGGGATATCCCTACCTTATTAGGCTTTCTGTACTGGGATTGATATGGGATATCCCTATCCTCAGTTTTGCTTATCTGCTTCTTGGGGGGCCTCACACTTGCATGATACACATAGCTAGCTTCTCTGTGCAGTTTCCGATCTCGTTCGCACTGCATTAGACTTGGAGAAAGTAGGCTTAACGGGTGCGCAAGAAGATGTGGCGTTACACGGTGCAGTGTCTGGCATTGCAGAGAAAGATGTGTTGAGTCAGATGCCTTGCCTTCCTGCTGCTGCTCCTCGTTCAGGCGTTTGCTTCTTTGTGCGGTTGTTCTTGGCACGCTTGACTGGCTTGCCCGTTCACTCACAGTGTGATCCAGCGTGATCAGTGACACCCGTGTCAAGTGAAGCTTGTTGTGCTACTGTTTTCCGGGACCCTAAAAACCTACCCTTTGAAGGTTCCCTTATCAATTCCTTATATAAATCCTTAAAATGGTAGGTTTTCGGTGTTAACTTTGGGATTTCTTGTATGGTTCCCATCAGATGCACCATGAAATCCATGGCTTTCAGTGCAAAGCCCGTTCGTGAGAGGCACCGGCATTGGTCCTACTATCGGGGCAATTATAGTATAATGGGCCCCAAAACCTTATTCTGGTTCTAACGCTACGCAGCTCGCCTCGGCTGCTGTGGGCAGTGGAAGGGGGGGGCGAGGAAGGGGGGGGTTGGCGTCGTTTTGCGTTTGGAGGAGGGTTAGGTGGAGGGTGCTTAGTAGATACCCTAGGCCTCTAGCCTCCGCGGATTTTTTCAGGCCCCTACAGCAGTTGCCGCACATTCAACAAAAGACCAGGACCCTCCTTGTACCCCCAAAAAGGGGTAAATGGCCCCAAATAACGGGTATTTAGGGTCATAAGAGGGAGATCGAGGGTCTAGGGAGCAAAGCCACAAAGACAGCGAGCCAGCAAACACACACATGCGGTACATGTGTACTTAAAGGGTCATGGGGACTTAGTAACTAGGGTTATAATGAAGGTAACTATACTTATGACCGCAATTAGGGTACTTATATATAACCATACTTACTAAGTCCCATGATCCTCCAAGTAATCCCTAGACCCCAAACCCCTATGGCCCTTACAGAGCCCTTTAAAAGGAACCCCTTAAGGAACCCTTTAAGAAACTTTACTAAGTCCCATGATCCTCCAAGTACCCAGAGGCTCCATAGTAGTTCCTTTTTGGGATTACCTTATAGGATTTTAAATATGAACCCCAAAAAGGAACTACTTTGGAGCCTTAGGGTACACACACAGACACAAATGCTCGGCCAGGAGAGGGCTGGCACAAGCTCCGAGGCGCAGGCAGTGGATGATTCCTCGCTCCTACGGTTGATGATATGAATCCTTCATGACCCATAATAAGGAATATACCATAATTCATGACCCATAATAAGGAATATACCATTATTCCCATAGTTTAGGGTCCTTAAGGGAATGCAGGAGGTATATCATCAACCGTATCATATAGAGTGTTACAGGAGTAGAATGCTTGGAGGGTCGGGGGACTTAGCAAGTAGGCAACATGTAGATTCAGAAGTACCCTCGGAGGGGGGACCCTGATTGGGGTTATGATACTTACAAGTCTCTAACACAACTCCTTGCTAAGTCTCCCGACCCTCCAAGTAGTGCGCCTTAGAGCCCTATCATAATCACTACCTTAACCGACCAAAACCTACAAAAAAGTAGGGTCCCTATAAATTCCATATTAGGGTTTATAATAAGAACCTACAAAAAGGTAGGGTTTGGTAGGTTAAGGTAAGGCTTATCATGCAGTTGTCACGAGTCCTAAAAGTTCGCGGACCCTGGGTGAACCGAGCTGAAGCTGCTGCTAGAGGATTCCGGACCTAGATTCCGGTTTAGGGTTTAGAGGGCTCCGATTAATGCCTTTGCTAGCTGAAGGGATATGCAAGTCACACGTGGAAATTTGGGCTCTCCCTTACCAGGATGTGTGCGAAAGTGCGTACTGTCCCACTGCAAATGCATACAGACACCCAGCGAAAAGTGTCGACATGTTCCTTTGATTGAATCTCCAAACACGGCGCCGTTGGACTGCAAAAGATGCTTGTGGACACGGAAGGGGTTTGGAGATAGAGATCGCAATCAACTTCCGCATGTGCTCTGAGCCGCCAAGCTTGACCGGTTTTCTTTTGCTACATAGATATACATATACACACACATAGAATCGAGGCCCTCGCGTTACACCCACGACATGTTTGGGCGCATGTCGACTTCGCAGTTCCTTATGACATCTTCTTGTGAAAGATTGGTCTTAGGTGAGACACCCCATACTCATCAAGCTTCAGAGCAACAATTTTTGTTCCTGCAGAGGCCCTGGAAGTGTAGAGGTGTACTAGATTCAATCTCTTTGGGGCATCTGGAGACACGAAGAATTTCATGTCTGCACTGGACGGGCTCCAATTTTCTGGGAGTCTCGCACCATGCCAGGCACAGCTGGAGGAGCTCTCAGCCAAGTTGCAGCAGGAGCGAGATCTGGGTGATGTCATGTGCATTGGGGCTGTGGACTGGGGAGGAGCAAGCGCGAAGCGACTTTGTCGCAGTGTTTCACCCTTTCCGAGTAGGATTCGCGGGCAGTACGGAACGTGGCAAGATGAATGTAAACTCCTTCATGTTGGAACGAGCGAAACAAAGACAGAATCGACGTCTGGGGCACTGCAGAGGCAGTGCTCAGAGTCCAATGCAAATTTGGCAGCTTCTTCATTTCCTGAAACCACAACCATAGCCTTCCTAGTCACTATAGGCCTTTTTCCAGATTAGCTTCAAAAGGCTCACGGTTGGTTCGACATAAACCTTTGTTGGAAGTTTCCTATCCAAACCCACGAGAGTATGTACCTGTCAAGACATTAATGAACATTCCGACGAGGCCGACGGACGAGCTGCTCAGGCCGAGGCAGGTTTGGAACCGCGGCAGGTCGAATGACCTCGTCGTCGGACTGCAAACGATGCGTGCGGACACGGATGACGTGTTTATATATACATATATGGTTGTATATAATATGTGTATATATATATATATATATATATATATGTATACACATCTATATGTATGTATGTATGTATATATATATATATATATATATATATATATTCGTTTATTTTCATTATATTTATGTGTTAGTGTATATATATATATATATATGTATATATTCAGAATGTATATCGTCTTGGCCCTCGGGGTGCGCACACCATGACGAATTCGTGGTGACTTTCGACATATTCTTGCGCAAGAGTGTTCTTAGCTGCAACCCCCCCCCCCCCCCCCAAACTTAGTGGTTTTCTTGCAGAGGCCCTGGAGGTGCAAGGGTGTACTAGATTCAATCTCTTATGGACGTCGGGAGATACGAAGAATTTTCATGCATGCGCTTGACGGGCCCCAACCCTGCCAGGCACAGTCCAAGGAGCTGTCGGCCAAGTTGCAGCAGGACCGGGATGTGGGTGATGTCATGGGCATTGGGGCTGTGGACTGGGGAGGAGCAAGCGCGAAGCGAATTTGTCGCAGTGTATCACCCTTTCCGAGTGGCATTCTAGGGCAGTGCGGAAAGTGGCAAGATGAATGTAAGCTCCTTCATGTTGACCTTTTCGGCTTTGGGCCTACGTTCCATCAACACACTGGGTAATCTTTATGCTCCTTTTATATCAAGCATGCAAAGCCTTAACTCAGACAGTTTCAGGTGCAGTTGTTTTCGAAAGCAGCGAAACAAAGATAGATCACACGACTGGGGCACTGCAGCAGTGCTCAGATTCCAATGCAAATTTGGCAAGTTGCAGCCACAACAACAGCTTGCGCAGTCACTAGGCCCTTCCCTAGATTGTCTCACTAGGCCTTCTAGATTGTCTCCAACAATGCTTACAGGCTTACTGTTCATTCGACACGATGTTGGAAAGTTCCTCTTCAAACACACCAAATAAACACCTCGGATTCTCGAACGATTTTCGTGAACATTCCGACGAGGCCGACGGACGTGCGGCTCATGCCGAGGCCAGTTTGACAACGCGGCGGGTCGAATGACCGCGTTGTCGGACTGCAAACGATGCTTGCGGACGCAGAAGGGGGTCGGAGATATAGTTTGTAATCAGCTTCGCCGTGATCTTAAGCGAAAGCTTGGCAGCAGTTGCTTTCCTGATGTTATATCTCGTCGCGATGTCTTTGGGTGCATGTCGACTTCGCAGTGCCCAGTGCCTTTTGACATGTTCCTGCACAAGAGCGGTCTTGGTTGCGACGTGTCCACCCTATTATTGGTTATCCTGCAGATCCCCTGGAAGTCTAAGGGTGTACTGTGTACTAGATTCGCTTGACGGGCTCCAATTTTCTGGAAATGTCGCACCATGCCAGGCACAGCTCGAGTTGCTGTCAACCAAGCTGCAGCAGGACCGGATGTGGGTGATGTCATGGGCATTGGGGCTGTGGAGTGGGGAGGTGCAAGTGCGAAGCGACGTTATCTCAATGTTTCACCGTCTCAGAATTGCTATCCAGGGCTGTACGGAAAGTGGCAAGATGAATGTGAGCTCCTTCATGTTTGCCTTTTCAGCTTTGTGCCTACGCTCTATCAGTGCACTGGGTAATACGACGTCTTGTGTCCAGGGTATATAGCCGGGAAGGGAATCTTTATGCTCCTGTTTAGTTTAGGATACCAAGCATGCAAAGCCTTTAAACAGACAGTTTTGAGGTGCAGTTGTTTTCGAAAGGAGCACTAAAAAGATGGAATCGAGTCTGGGGCACTGCAGCTGCACTGCTTAGATGCAAATTTGGCGGCTTCAGATCGTGAAGCCGCAACCACAGCCTAGTAGTACTTAGGCCTGTCTCTAGGTTGTCTCCAAAAATGCTCACGATTGAATCGGCAGAAACCTTTGTTGGAAAGTTCCCATCCAAACACACAGAATTACAGAACTGTCAAGACTTGAATGAATATTCCGACGAGGCCGACGGACGAGCTGCTGAGGCCGAGGCAGGTTTGAAACCGCGGCGGGTTGAATGACTGCGTCGTCGGACTGCAAACGATGCTTGAGGACACAGAAGGGGGTCGGAGATGTAGCTAGTAATCAGCTTCGCCGTGATCTAAAGCGAAAGCTTGGCAGCAGTTGCTTTCCTGATGTTATATCTCGTCGCGATGTCTTTGGGTGCATGTCGACTTCGCAGTGCCGAGTGCCTTTTGCTTGGTTGCGACGTCTCCACCCTATTATTGGTTATCCTGCAGATCCCCTGGAAGTCTAAGGGTGTACTGTGTGCTAGATTCGCTTGACGGGCTCCAATTTTCTGGAAATGTCGCACCATGCCAGGCGCAGCTCGCGGAGCTTTCATCCAAGTTGCAGCAGGACCGGGATCTGGGTGATTTCATGTGCATTGGGGCTGTGGACTGGGGAGGAGCTAGCGCAAAGGGAGTTTGGCGCTTCACCGATTGAGAGTATCATTCTAGGGCAGTACGGAAAGTGGCAAGATGAATCTGAACTCCTTCATTTTGGCCTGTTCGGCTTTGGGCATTCATTCCAGCAACACACGGGGTAACACGACGTCTTGTGGCCAGAGTTTCGAATCGAGGCCCAGAAGCTTTATGCTCCTATTGAGGATACCAAGAATGCAAAGCCTAAGCCAGACAATTTTGAGGTGCAGTTGTTTTCGAAAGGAGCGAAACAATGATAGAATCGACGACAGGGGCACTGCAGCTGCGCTTCTCAGACCCCAATGCAAATTTGACTGCTTGAGTTCCTGAAGCCGCAACCACAGCCTAGTAGTACTTAGGCCTGTCCCTAGGTTGTCTCCAAAAATGCTCACGATTGAATCGGCAGAAACCTTTGTTGGAAAGTTCCCATCCAAACACACAGAATTACAGAACTGTCAAGACTTGAATGAATATTCCGACGAGGCCGACGGACGAGCTGCTGAGGCCGAGGCAGGTTTGAAACCGCGGCGGGTCGAATGACTGCGTCGTCGGACTGCAAACGATGCTCGTGGACGCAGAAGGGGGTTGGAGATATAGTTTGTAATCAGCTTCGCCGTGATCTAAAGCGAAAGCTCGGCAGCAGTTGCTTTCCTGATGTTATATCTCGTCGCGATGTCTTTGGGTGCATGTCGACTTCGCAGTGCCGAGTGCCTTCTGACATGTTCCTGCACAAGAGTGGTTGCGATGTCTCCACCCTGTTATTGGTTATCCTGCAGATCCCCTGGAAGTCTAAGGGTGTACTGTGTACTAGATTCGCTTGACGGGCTCCAATTTTCTGGAAATGTCGCACCATGCCAGGCGCAGCTCGCGGAGCTTTCATCCAAGTTGCAGCAGGACCGGGATCTGGGTGATTTCATGTGCATTGGGGCTGTGGACTGGGGAGGAGCTAGCGCAAAGGGAGTTTGGCGCTTCACCGATTGAGAGTATCATTCTAGGGCAGTACGGAAAGTGGCAAGATGAATCTGAACTCCTTCATTTTGGACCTGTTCGGCTTTGGGCATGCATTCCATCAACACACCGTGTACTACGACGCCTTGTGTCCATTTTTTGAATCGAAGCCTGGAAATTTTATGCTCCACATGAGGATAGAAGCATGCAGAGCCTGAAGTCAGATACTTCTGAGGTGAAGCTGCGTGTAAAACGAGCGATACAAAGATTGAATCGACGACAGAGGCACTGCAGCTGCGCTTCTCAGATTCCAATGCAATTTTTTTCAGCTTCAGATCGTGAAGCCACAACCACAGGCCTTGTATTGTCTCCAAAAATGCTCACGGTTGATTCGGCATAAACCTTTGTTGGAAAGTTCCCTTCCAAACACACAGAATGACAGAACTGCCAAGACTTGAATGAATATTCCGACGAGGCCGACGGACGAGCTGCTGAGGCCGAGGCAGGTTTGAAACCGCGGCGGGTTGAATGACTGCGTCGTCGGACTGCAAACGATGCTTGTGGACACAGAAGGGGGTCGGAGATGTAGCTAGTAATCAGCTTCGCCGTGATCTAAAGCGAAAGCTTGGCAGCAGTTGCTTTCCTGATGTTATGTCTCGTCGCGATGTCTTTGGGTGCATGTCGACTTCGCAGTGCCGAGTGCCTTTTGACATGTTCCTGCACAAGAGTGGTCTTGGTTGCGACGTCTCCACCCTATTATTGGTTATCCTGCAGATCCCCTGGAAGTCTAATTAAGGGTGTATTGTGTACTAGATTCGCTTGACGGGCTCCAATTTTCTGGAAATGTCGCACCATGCCAGGCGCAGCTCGCGGAGCTCTCATCCAAGTTGCAGCAGGACCGGGATCTGGGTGATTTCATGTGCATTGGGGCTGTGGACTGGGGAGGAGCTAGCGCAAAGGGAGTTTGGCGCAATGCTTCACCCTTTGAGAGTATCATTCTAGGGCAGTACGGGCAGTGGCAAGATGAATGTAAACTCCTTCATGTTGGCCTGTTCGGCTTTGGGCATTCATTCCAGCAACACACGGGGTAACACGACGTCTTGTGGCCAGAGTTTCGAATCGAGGCCCAGAAGCTTTATGCTCCTATTGAGGATACCAAGAATGCAAAGCCTAAGCCAGACAATTTTGAGGTGCAGTTGTTTTCGAAAGGAGCGAAACAATGATAGAATCGACGACAGGGGCACTGCAGCTGCGCTTCTCAGACCCCAATGCAAATTTGACTGCTTGAGTTCCTGAAGCCGCAACCACAGCCTAGTAGTACTTAGGCCTGTCCCTAGGTTGTCTCCAAAAATGCTCACGATTGAATCGGCAGAAACCTTTGTTGGAAAGTTCCCATCCAAACACACAGAATTACAGAACTGTCAAGACTTGAATGAATATTCCGACGAGGCCGACGGACGAGCTGCTGAGGCCGAGGCAGGTTTGAAACCGCGGCGGGTCGAATGACTGCGTCGTCGGACTGCAAACGATGCTCGTGGACGCAGAAGGGGGTTGGAGATATAGTTTGTAATCAGCTTCGCCGTGATCTAAAGCGAAAGCTCGGCAGCAGTTGCTTTCCTGATGTTATATCTCGTCGCGATGTCTTTGGGTGCATGTCGACTTCGCAGTGCCGAGTGCCTTTTGACATGTTCCTGCACAAGAGTGGTCTTGGTTGCGACGTCTCCACCCTATTATTGGTTATCCTGCAGATCCCCTGGAAGTCTCAGGGTGTATTGTGTACTAGATTCGCTTGACGGGCGCCAATTTTCTGGAAATGTCGCACCATGCCAGGCGCAGCTCGCGGAGCTCTCATCCAAGTTGCAGCAGGACCGGGATCTGGGTGATTTCATGTGCATTGGGGCTGTGGACTGGGGAGGAGCTAGCGCAAAGGGAGTTTGGCGCAATGCTTCACCCTTTGAGAGTATCATTCTAGGGCAGTACGGGCAGTGGCAAGATGAATGTAAACTCCTTCATGTTGGCCTGTTCGGCTTTGGGCATTCATTCCAGCAACACACGGGGTAACACGACGTCTTGTGGCCAGAGTTTCGAATCGAGGCCCAGAAGCTTTATGCTCCTATTGAGGATACCAAGAATGCAAAGCCTAAGTCAGACAATTTTGAGGTGCAGTTGTTTTCGAAAGGAGCGAAACAATGATAGAATCGACGACTGGGGCACTGCAGCTGCGCTTCTCAGATCCCAATGCAAATTTGACTGCCTGAGTTACTGACGCCGCAACCACAGCCTTAGTAGTACTTAGGCCTTTCTCTAGATTGTCTCCAAAAATGCTCACGGTTCATTCGGCATAAACCTTTGTTGGCAAGTTCCCTTCCAAACACACAGAACGACATAACTGCCAAGACTTGAGTGAATATTCCGACGAGGCCGACGGACGAGCTGCTCAGACGGAGGCAGGCTTGAAACCGCAGCGGGTCGAATGACTGCGTCGTCGGACTGCAAACGATGCTCGTGGACGCAGAAGGGGGTTGGAGATATAGTTAGTAGTCAGCTTAGCCGTGCTCTAAACAGAAAGCTTGCCAGTTGTTGTTTGGCCCTCGGGATGACACGCTGTCTTTGGGCGCATGGCGACTTCGCAGTGCCTTTTGACATGTTCTTGCGCAAGAGTGGCCTTAGCTACGACGCCCGAACACGGAGTAAACTTCAGGGCATTCGCGGTCCTGCTGCAGAGGCCCTGAAAGTCGACGGGTGCGCTAGATTCAATCTCTTTGGGACGTCGGGAGATAGGAAGAATTTTCATGTCTGCGCTTGACGGGTTCTGGAAATGTCGCACCATGCCAGGCACAGCTTCAGGAGCTGTCAACCAAGCTGCAGCAGGAGCGGGATCTGGGTGATGTCATGTGCATTGGGGCTATGGACTGCGGAGGTGCAAGCAAGAAGCGACTTTCTGATTCACCCTTTCAGAGTATTTCCACGGGAAATTGGGAAGATGCATGTGCACTCCTTCATGTGGGCCTTGTCGGCTGTGGTCCTACTTTCTATCAACACACCGGGTAGTGCGACTTCTCGTGTCTACGGTTTGACAGCCCAGAAACTGTATGCTCCATTCCGTGTGCATGTGACGAGATGTCAGTTGCGAGCGCCAAGCTTAAATCGTGGCCATGTCTTATCGTATTCAGCAAGCGTGCACGGTGCATGTAAGTGTATGTAATTAATTAACTGGATGAAGGTCACCTCAAGCCCGGAAGCCCCGAGCCCGAATGCAACGCCTAACCCCTAACTTAACTCCCAAGCCCCAATCCCGTTTACGATGGCTAACTATATGGGAGTTTCCGAAAATTAGGGGTACCTCATTTGGGGGTCAATAAGGATCCTACTATTGAGGGTTTTAGATTAGGCCCCCCCCCCCATTTTCGGACACTCCTATAGTTTCTACATGAGCTCGAATGCCTCCAGGGCAACGTGCCGGCGGAAAGCAGTGAGGCCTCGTTGGCTTAGGGTGCACAGGCGTTTTGAAGGTTTCTGCACGGTTTCTTTAAGGGTCTACATGAGTTCTGAGGTCGAAGGCCTTCAGATTTCGAGAGGTTGAAGGTTGAGGGTTTAGGCCCCAGGGTGTGGGCCATATGATTTTAGAGGTTGGGCCAATGGTTTAAGGCCTGTATTTTGTTCAGACTTTTTTCCGAACTTCATGTCGGTGAGTCCGGGAATGGCGGGGCTTTGTCCCTTCGATGAAGGCCGGAGGTAGACTTCGTCGGAGATGGGCCAGTATAGAGGGTCTATAGGGCTTCGGGTTGAGTTTGGGGTTTGCGGTTTAGGGTTTATTGATTAGGGGTTCTATAGGGCTTCGGGTTTAGGGGTTTAGCTTTAGGGTTTAGGTTTTAGGGTGGGGGTTTGATAGCTTGCGGTCCTGAGGGTACTGAGCAAAACTGAAGAACCGTCGAGTCGGAAGTTTAGGGTTTAGGCTTGACTTACCTTTGGTTAGTAGGGAATGGAAGAATGGTAGTAATAGTAGTTATAATTGTACCCCATTATTAGGTACTTGGACCCTTAGGGTTCGATTCAGAAACCCAAAGCATCGAATCCTGCAGCCGGATACCAAGCCAGGCAGGAACCTCTATCGCCGTGCTCATGCGCCCAGACCCCCGGGAGGAACCGAAAGGTAGAGCCCTTAATGGGGGTTCCTATATAGTACCCTGAGTAGTATAGGGCCCCAAATTAAATTAGGGGATCTACTTTCTGGATCCTTCCGGGGGTCTGGGCATGCACTTATCCTCAAACACAACGAGCAGCAAATACGTCGAGCAGATGCGCAGCAGAATTCTTTGTAAGCTAGTTATGTACTCGCTGCAAGCATTTGCTCACTGCAACAAGTGTCTAAGCCCTCCACTGGCGATAACCGAGTGCAAGCAACGGTGGCAAGTCCTTTTGTAAGGATTTGTAATCATGTATATGCTTCACGGTCAGTGCGAGAAACAAACCTTCTACGAGCCTTGTACTGCACTTTGTCATACAGTCAATGCCTCATTCACTCCGTCAGCTACAAATATAAGTGTATATAGATATATGCATAATGTGTGTGTCTACGCTGACACATACATTATGTTATTAACTGTATGACAAGTGTCAGCATCTCTGTTTGATAGCCTGCTTAGAACACCTGTGAGCTGATCAGAGAGAGAGCACTTGGAGGGTCGGCGGACTTACATAGTAAGTAGGTTATAAAGTAGGTTATAAGTAGACTTACAACTGTCTTAAAAGGGATCCTAATTGGGGCTATGGTACTTATAAGTCTCTAAGATAACTACTTACTATGGTACTTATAAGTCTCTAAGATAACTACTTACTGTGGTACTTATAGGTCTCTAAGATAACTACTTACTAAGTCTCCCGAACCTCCAAGCAGGAGTCCGTGCGGGAAGCCCTGGTCTTTGCTGGCGAGAACTGCGAAGGCCATGCGATGGATGTGACGGTTTTGGGGGCAGCCTTGTCCTTTTTCATGGTTCCCCCAAGAGAATATACAGACCGGCTAGTAGACATTCTTAGATAATTCCTACTAAGGGATATTAGGCCCTGTCTATTATTTCTAACAGGACAAGGGTGTTTGGGGTGGGGGGTGGGGGCAGAGGGTTTGGGCTTCGGCTTTTTGATGAAGCCCCTATCCCCCGAAACCCTAAGCCTCTGAACCCAAACCCCTGAACCCCGACCCCTAAACCCTAAACCCTAGTGTGAGGGGCGATGTTTTCTTGTTTGTTGTCTATTGAGTGCACGCCTGCACGCCTGAACCAGGCGGGCTGGCGAGCAATCAAATGTCCGATGCACCTTAAAAGAAAACCCTTTAAGCCCCTAGCTTTTTGATGTTGCCGGGCTTTTCGTAGGCAATCGTGCCTCGGTCGAGTAGTCTTTTCGGTTCGGTGGTGGGATGTCGAGCCGTTAATGTTAGGGGTTTAGGGATAAGGGATTGGGGTTCGGTGTTTAGGGGTTAGGATTTAGAGGTTTAGGGTTCAGGGTTTAGGAGGGTTTGGGCCAGGACACCCGGCAGCTCGATTCCAGCTGTCTGTACTTGTGTTCTAAGTTTCAGAAGTTTTATTTGGCTTAAGTACAACAGCAGGTATGCGCATGGTGAAGCAACCTCATGCATTGACTCATGCATCCCCTCGGTGAGTCGAAGGGCCTCAGTCTCAGGATGAAAAGCTCTCTTGTTCAAGAAACGGCACGTCTCTAAACACAAAGCACCACCTCCTGAATCCTGCCCCGCACATGCACGATCACCTCTGCCTGTTTGCGTTGCCCCGATTCCAAGGTACTTGCAACCCTACTTTTAACTGCTCCTCATCTCTCAAGCACGGTGAAGCCTGAAGAAACATAAGCTGAACGCTAAACCTTCCGCCCTGCACCCTAAACCTTCTACATCAGGAAAGCATATCGATTCACTGATCGCCCTCCTTGGGAAGCACATCTCCAACCTGGCCGTTTGCTCCCAGGCCCATCTTGTTGTCTTGGGGAAAGAAGCATGTTCAAGGGATTGTCGGGGTTTTAGGGTTTAGGGTTTGGGGATTTTAGGGGTTTAGGGTTCATAAGGGTTCTTGAAACCGATTCCCATGTAGAAATCTTAGTTGTGAAAGTTGTAGTTTCAGGTGTTTTTGTGGGGCTCCTATCCTCCTTGCAAGAAAGAGAAAAGCCTAGCTACCGTTGAAGAGACACGGAAGCCGGGAAAGCACGGTATATTACAGTTGCAAGCCTACAAGTGCTTCATCCGAATGAACTCCTACCCCTAACAGATCCTAGCTACTTTTACCCAGACCCCCGAAAGGATCCAAAAAGTAGATCCCTTAATCGGGGTTCCTATACAGTACCCTTAGTAGTATAGGCGCCCCAAATCAGGGGATCTACTTTCTAGATCCTCCCGGGGGTCTGGGTAGAAGAATGTAACGCTCAAAGTGAAGCAATAATGCCAGAATACGGTTGCAGCCAAATCCGGGAAATCACTACTGTTGCAGGGCATAGATGTAGAACCGCACACACTCGCCCGAGAATGAGCCTACGATCGAGGCCTGACAATAACTACAGTATCAGGCCCTACATTACATGCAGGTCTGCCCACAGGGTCCAAAGTACCTGTATAGTAAAATGTAGGGTTTATATATCAGGAATCCTGATCATGATTTGGGATTGTATCCCCCATAGTACGGTTGATCATACAAATCCTGCATTACCCATAATACGGAATATGCCATTGTTCCCGTAGTTTAAGGTCCTTAAGGTAATGTAGGATTTATATCATCACCCTAAACCCTGAACTCTAAAACCCTACAGATCCCTTAAAGGAACCCCTTAAAGGTACCCTTATAGATCCCTTTAAAGGAACCCTAGGATTTTAGACCACCAGCAGTAGAACCTACGATCCCCTGGGCTTTGAAACCTCCGAACCTCCTCGCCCTCCAGGTGTGCGCTACCCTGGAGAACCTTACCTTTACTGATGCAGCGACCCCGGCTCCCAGAGACTCCAAAACCCCTGAATTAAGGAAGATACCTGAAAATTATGATAGGGGCCGTAATAACCCTTAATTAAGGAAGATACCTCAAAAATATGATAGTAGCCCTAATAAGATTTGAGGGGTATATTCCGAATATACCTTAGGTTGTGATAGGAGCCCTAGTAAGATTATGAGGGGTATATTCCTTAATATGGGGTATTGGAGTCTCTGGGCTGTGTGGAGTTTTCTTGCCCGGCGGACGACACTCATCCTGAAACCCCAAGGCACCATGCAAACCTTAGAGCTTGAACCGGAAACCCCAAACCCCCAAACCCCTAAACCCCTGAACCCCTAAACCGCTAAGCCCCTAAACTCCCACTAAACCATCAAACCCTTAAACCCGGAGCCCTAAAACCTAAGCCCGAAACCCTGAAACCACGCCCTAATCGATCCGAAAGCCAAACAAACCCGAAGGCAGTCTAGTCTCAAGTTCGAAGACCTGCGGAGTAATGTAGAAGCCGGAGTAATTGGCTATTGCCCTAAGCCCCAAACATAGGTAGCACAGGTACAGAGACACAGAGCTGGTGAACTACATTCGGAGCTGTGACTCTGCGAACCCTTAAGCCTTAAAGTTGCTCCATAAAGTCAATGACTTATTGGCTGTAAACTCAATATTACAACTTTTGGGGTTCTTATAAGGTGGTCGGTTCTGAAAGTTTCAACTTTTATTTCCTTGGGTTGTGGGCCAGTGAGATGAGCAGGGCTTTCCTTTCATGTCTATTGAAGCACCCCCTCCAAACTTAGGTCTCATTGTCTCGGCCTGTATAGCGCCCTGAAGCATCTTTGGTATTTCAATATAGCCTACACCATAAATCCTATAGAACTTTACACCCTAAACCCTCTACAGCACCCTAAAGCATCTTCGGTAATTCAATCTAGCCTAGACCCTAAGCCCTATAAGAAACCTAAACCCTAAACCCTCTGTAGCACCCTAAAGCATCTTTGGTATGTCAAAGAGTCAAAGATATCTGGAGATCCTCCGAAGCCCCATCTCTGTTCTTCGTTCGATGATCATTCCGATGTGTGGGCTGTCGGGTTTAGGGGTTTAGGGCTTAGGGTTCAGGGGTGTATGGTTTAGTGTTTTAGGGCTTTAGGGTTTCAGGCCTAGGGTTTAGGGGTTTAGGGTTTTAGGGCTTTGGGTTTAGGGGTGTAGGGTTCAGGGCTTAGGGAATGTTGAGTGCTCGGACTCGGACTGTTTGTTGAACGAGCTCAAGCTGTTGACACAGTCTGCTGACTGATGTTGACTGACGCGTAAGCTGCTTGAGAGGTGGCTTTACTGAGTTAGCAGCTGACGAGCATAGACCTTAACCTGAGACTTTGGCGGGATGTTCTGTTTCTTCTTCGCGCGTTCGTTCGCAATCAACCTTCCGCAGTGATGCAGCCGGTATTTTGCAGTGCCCTAGACCTGATACCCAAAACCCGAAGCCCCTCAAACTTTGTGTATATGCCCTGTCCCTGTAGCCCTAAATCCTCGACCAAAACCCTATGCCCGAATTCACCCCCCCCCCCCCTAAATCCTCAACCCTAAACCCCGATAAGAAATCCGAAACCTATACAGAGCCCTGGGCTGCCAAAGCTCGAAGGATTAACATGAACTGAACTTAAGCCACCTGTAACCACAAACCCAAGATGGGAGCCTGAATGATTGCCTGTATACATTATTACATAGGATTCCTGAACGTTGGTATACTCCAACGTACCTCAAAACCCTGTTCAAAATTATTACGACCCCTACATGACATGGAGTACTACACACCTACCAAAAAAATTCCCCGGAATCCTGCGCTTGGTGAGGTGGATAACCAGTCGAGAATTGTTGATCTCGGCGGTATTGAGTTGATCCTGAAAGTGCGGCGTCCCCAACCTTGGCTGGGTTGTTCTTTGGGATCTTTTTTAATTTCCCCTACTATTTTGTAGAGAACCATAACAGTAAATAATTTTCAAAGGGCTTAAAGGACAACTCAGTTGGGTGTTCGAGTTAACTTAGGCTTCGGGCATTCTGGTTTTGGGCTTTAGAGCCCTAGTAGAGAGATCATGGGTAGGTGTTGGGTAGGTGCCACCACTCAGTCACAGTTGGTTAATATTCATAATATAGATATATGACGACCTGAATAGCAGCCTTGTTATACACTGTTACTGTATGGAGCCAGTTTCCAAGGTAGATGTACTGTATAGGTACCAAGATCTACCCTCGTGTCTTCCGAGGAGTTTATCTTGGGATGGTCGATCGGTTTCCTTGTCTTCGGGGCAGCGATAGCAGTAGAATAGAAGCCCAAAAGTTGGAAGCCTAATAGCCTCAATCTTTAAGAGTAATGTAGAGGGAATCCCGGGACTAGTTGGCCCTAATCTGGTTTCCAACTTAATGGGCTTTACTGTATCTGGCAGAGGGTCCAATCGACGCGCCGGGGTGGGGGTGTGGGTGAGAGCCCGGGCTTGGCATTTGGGAGCGGGAGCATCATCATCTGAGACCCCAGCATAGTTACTACCGTATTAGTCTCCTCTTTGTTGTGGGCTGTGTGTTTCGCCCTACTGCGAGCACGTCGACTACTACAAAGTTACTACTAAAGTTGTTGTACATTGCCATTGCCAAAATCATCGCATTAGTTGTCACGACAGCAAGGGCAATCAGCACAGCAAGCAGCAGCAAAGGGGTGGTTCGAGTCGCCTGGACAACCGCCGCAAGGACATAAGGAGTTGGAATAGTCATATACTTTGCGGTGCTACATACCGGCAACGGTGACGGTCCACACCCGCCACTTTCCTTGTTTTCACCCTCAGCATCAACAGCCTCATCAACAGTGCAACGATTTAGGCGTCATCCTTATACCCCCTGAGCCCTTACCACAACGATAGCCATCGTTATCAAGGGGCCGACAGATGGCCTAAAGTCTCTAGAGCTGCTAAGGCTGGAGACGCACGAGGACAGCGACGGCACGAGATCATTGTGAGACTGATATACAGGGACCTAAATAGTTAACAACCTCATTCCTTATGGTTGTTATTATAGCCATACTATAGATGGGCCCAAAACCTTCTTCTAAATTACCAACCTTATTCCAAATATGAAGGCTCCTATGTCGAATTGAGAGGCCTGGGGCCCTCGACATCCCGAGATATCTTTCAGGCATAAGGTTGATACTGCTGATGGACAAAATCCTGCATGACCCTAAGGACTCTAAACTATGGGAACTATGGTATATTCCTTATACTGGGTAATGCAGGATTTTGTCCATCAGCAGTATGGAGAGGGGCTCTCCGATTCTACACTGCGTCCTGATGTAGCACTTGGAGCAGCATGGGCCTTGGTAAATGGGGTTTTTATAGTTACCCTAATTATAGCAGTCTCATGACCCTTTAGGTAGGCCCTAAACCCTTAAAGGGAGCCCGATTACAGAACCCTATACTACCCTGTAAAGGAACCCTAAACAGGACCCGCAATCTGATAGCCATTCAAGCATGTAACCTCAATCAGGGATGTGTGCTTCCGAAACCTGTGTGAAGCCTTGAAGTGCCCAAACCTGATGTCAAGCATTTGTAAGAACCCCGGCTACCTGCATGCAGGATGCAGATGGTGCGCAGTTGCGCCCTGTTGTTGATTCTCTCTGGAATCTGACCTTCAATGTGAAGGCAAGTGCTCAGTTATGTACATGGTCGACGTCAGACGGGTGGTGGTTGTAGAGGAGCCACATTAGGGTTCAGGGTTCATGGACTAGTTTGCATCTGTAGCAGCATATGCCCTCAACCTTGTCAACATTTCCAGTGCCTTAAGTTGGCCCATAGATTGCGAACTTTGCAAGCTGTATAGTGAACTCCAGAAAGTTGGAACATGGGTTTAGGAGGATTAGTGCTAGGATCCCTTTTACTCTACCTTAAGGGCATGAGGATACTCATGTTCCATTCTGGCTTCTATATGTGGCAGCACAGGGATCGCTCAAAGACACTGTCTCTGTTATAGCCCTGGATATTATAGTACTAATTACTACTAACATTGTTCTTCCAATTATAGCCCTGGGTATTAATAGTATTAATTACTACTAGCATTGTTCTTCCGATTCTTATTGTCATTGTCTGTTAGGGATGTTTAGTGCAGCTTGCGATGCTCCCCTGCACTGCAGCCTAAAGCAGCGGCATAAGGTTATGTAGGTATCTTGCAGAAGGGACAAGACACGATGCTCCGGTAACCTTGGAGGATCATGGCACTTAGTAAGTAAAATTTCAAGTACCTTAGTTGGGATTGTATAAGTACTTGCAAGTATGGTTACCTGAGTTTGAACCCTATTGACTAGGTTTACTACGTCCCTTGAGGCTCCATTGTAGAGTTGAGCTGTACCTTAACCAACCAAAACCTACTCTTTGTAGGGTCCCTAAAAATTCCACATTAATGTTTATATCAAGAACCTACAAAAAAGTAGGGTTTGGTAGGTTAAGGTAGTGTCCGGGCGGATTCTTGAAGGCAGTCGAGCGGGCCACGGCGACAGGCGGTGTCCGCCGCGTTGCATCGGTGCTGCCGGCAGACTTCTTCGCTTCCTTGTTCTATTTGTAGTATAATGGCCCCCAAGCCGTATTCTAATTGTAGTATAATGGCCCCAAACCGTATTCTAATTGTAGTATATCGGCCCCCAAACCGCATTCTAATTGTAGTATAATGGCCCCCAAACTGTATTCTAATTGTAGTATAATGGCCCCCAAACCGTATTCTAATTATCAAGGCCCTATGGTAAAATGAAATGCAGACGAGCCTGCCAATTCTCTTTTCGTAAGAGTCGGGGAATCTGGATGAGAGACAGGGTCGGATACGGTTCAGGGTTTCGGTACAGGGTCTTGGGTTATAGGCAGAGTCCAGGCAGAGCACAAGATCGTCAGTGATGGCCGCCATGCTGTTGTGTAACAAAATGGAAATACCGAATTCATTTCCATCACAGCCCAAATTTGCGGAACAGGTGGGATCATGGCTCTATGATATGTGGGGTAGCAGCCGTAATTCTATTAATGTGTTGACGGAGCTCATCTTTTGGGGCGACTTGACTAGACATGTCAGATCATGTGCAGTTGTAGTTCGCATACAGACGTACATGCTTACATGCATACAGCCAGCATGTATACATACATGCATATATACGTGCTTGCGTACTTAGATGCATGCAGACATGCAGACATACATATATACATATATATATATATCATAACTGATGACATGCAATTTTGTGGATATGTGTATATACATATATACATATATACATACACATATTGGCAGCTAGACAGATCGATGGATGGACAGATAGACAGTTAGACAGTGTTTTGCACATCGGCTTCTGGAGGGAGTTCGCGGTGCACTTGGAGATACATTAGAAGCTGCCCCCACCCTGTAATAGTGGTATACCAGGAATATAATAGGGACCTAATATAATCCTATATAACCCTTATGGTCACTATTACAGGGTGGGAGTGGGGGCCCCTTCTAAGAGATACATGTGATCAAGTTGTACAGTATAAGAAGAGTCGCTACTGACATGTTTTCACCCGCTAAGTCCGAGGTCCTAGAGCCTAAACCACGAGAACCCTAAGCCCTAAACCCAACAACCCTAGGCCCTAAACCACGAGAACCCAAAACCCCAAACCCCAAACCCTCAAAACCCTAAAACCCTAAACCCTAAACCCCTAAACCCGTAAGCCCCTAAACCTCTAAACCCCTAAACCCTCAAGCCCCTAAGCCCCTAAACCCTTAAACCCCTAAGACCCAAAGCCCTCAGAGGTCCTCGCCAAGAACTTGGCAACTCCGGACGTGCTGGTGCCACGGCAGCCAGCATTGCAGTGTTTGGATATTTGGGAGTTTCCGATAATTAGGGGTACCGTATTTTGGGGTCCTTCTAATCAGGTCCTACTATTTAGGGTACTCTACTAGGGGCATTTCGGGGGCCTCAAAAGGTAGGATGAAGGTAGGTGTGATATTCCCAAATAAGAGTCCTTATATAAGGGATCCTTAATCCCACCCACCTTCATCCCACCTTGTGAGGCCTCCAAGCATTGCAGTGTTTTGATATTTGTTTCGTTGTTTTTTTTGTGCGGTTCGGGCTTGGGGTCTATAGACTTCCCCTCAACATAGTTTGCTAGGCTGTATAGGTTGTTAGGCTGTCAAGGATGACGCCGCTGATGTGACCTATGATTTGTGGTCGAATTTTCTCCGTAAGCCGCCACTGTAGCGTTCTAGGTGAGTTGAACACTGGTAGAACAAGGTTCCAGGCTATACAGTAGTATCCATATATGTTTTTTTCATCCAGGCGTTTGCTGATGATGCTTAGCTCCTGAGCGCGAAATCCTCAGCTATTCACAACCGGGGATGGAACAGCCTCCCAAAATCGCAGCCTCCGGCAGCTAAGGGTGGAGTATGTGCAGTCTTGCTCAACCTGGCCGTTCTCGACGAAAACCGCCACCAGATTGTGCAGGCAAAGACTTTGGCATTCGCTTTAACCCTTACTAAACCCTAGACCCTAAGCTGGCTTTAGGATGCCAGCTTGAGCCTGTCTGCTTGGTAGTTGGGCTTATTTCGGCAGGTCATGCTCTGTGCTATCTTGTAGGGCATCAAGTCCTCTCCGGATGTATCGCCATGTGCCGGAGGAAGCATGAGACATAGTACCGTACCAACTCACCATCGGTCGAGAGGTGGGACCTACGGGATTGAAGCTGTGTTTGACTGTAGTTCGGATGGACATGGAAGTACTGTCACTGAGCCCTTAACCCCATGCCTGACCCTGGTTCTAGGGTTTAGGGATGGTTAGGGAAGTTAAGGGTGTAAGCTTGGCTGAACTGGCCGTCGGATGTACCTGACTTGGCAACATCAGCAAAGCCGCATTCCCTAAACCAAACCCAAACCGAAACCTAAACCCACTCCACACTTGAACCCTTTCTCCGGTTTAGCATCCAGTCCTAAACTTGTAATTCCTCAACCAACCCTAAACCCTAAACCCTAAACCTAAACTTATCCATCTTGCGTGTTCAGCCCTGAAGGCTCATTCCCAGACACTCTTACTTGGAGGGTCGGGGGACTTAGTAAGTAGGTAGAAAGTAGACTTATAAGTACCCTAATAGGGACCCTAAATAAGGGTTACGATACTTATAAGTCTCTAAAATAACTGTTGACTAAGTCCCCCGACCCTCCAAGTACCCTGAGTCCTCAAACCCTGCACCCCTGAACCCTTCAACCGTAAATCAGAAGCCATACATGCCACGCTTCAATCACCTACCTGGACCCCAGAAGTATGTAGAATAAGAGCCCTTTACTTTCGGGGGTCTAGGTAAGACTTGTATAATGCGCGCGTATCATAGTTCTTAAAATCCTGAGGGCTGATAACCCGAATCCTTAAAGGGCCCAAACTCTGTCTTTGGCCCCGAAGCCCAGACCCCAAAAGCCCAGAGCCCTTGCCTCGCAGTGTGGTGGAGCGGAATCCATGGTCCAAGCCATCAAGGCCCATCAGGGCCGCGAAGAGGCGCCTGGCCTACAGCACGCTTTGGGGGTTAGGGGTTTAGGGTTTGGCCTAGAGTTTCTCGGCGTTCCGAGATTTCGTAATACGTTAGTTACAAGTAGGACTGAAAAGGGATTTTGGGGTATGTGTAATGGAAACATGCTATAGCATGCTAGTTACAATGTGCCCTGCCCTACTTGTAAAGTTTGGGGACGTAGGGATGGGTAGGAATCAGGATACGTTGGCAGGGAGTTAAAAGCTCCGGGGTTTTAAGGATTTTGGGATTTTAGGGTTCAGAGCCTGTTCGTGCGTCAGGGCTTGAGGGCTGTTTTGGGGGCTTTTCCAGTTTGGGTCTCGTGTTCGAAGTTTCGGCATTGAAGTTGGCGGTTTTTCCGCTGAGTACGGCAGATTACTTGAGTGCGTTGTACATGTGACAGCTCGGAGTCTCACCAGCCGTAGGGCTCGTCTCAAAGACGATTCTGAAAAATCTGGTATCTTCGAAGGTCGTCGAACACGCGTGCCAAGCGCTGTATCTTCTCGCCTACCACACAGAGCTTCGGTTTCGCACTCGGCGTGAAGGTGTTATGCTAATTTTTGCAGCAGTTACTAGGGTCGTTATTCGGGCTCGTAGTAGAGTTACTAGAACGGCTTTGACAAAGGGCGACTGCGACGGTGCCAACTATAAGGCGAAGAACTTTTTGACCCTGTCATGCGGGTTATTCGGCAGAATGGGGTAACACATGTGTCCAATGAGGGTCGGCACGGGGGCTTTCACAGGGTTAGTATGATGGTGATGCAAGTGTGCTGGGATTGACTTGTGGGGTTTGGAAAACAGGGGACCCTAATATAGCACCCCAAATAATAGGATCCTTATTATAGGGACCCCAAATAAGGTACCCCTAATTTCCGGAAACTCCCATTTGTAAGGCTTGGACGTAGTCGCCTGGGGCGCTTAGACTCAATAGACTCTAGGCTGGTTGGGATTCTCTAGCCCTCTCCATCCCTTTATAGCCAGTGTTCTGTATTTATATTAGAACACCCTACACGCTAAACATTGAACCGTCGGTGTTGTGATGTTATAATCGAATACTGTACCATATCGTTAAACGCTCAATCCCGAACAACAGGTTTAGGTATCATGTCCAGGTTGTTCTTGGTGTCGGGTTCAGGGTTTAGGTTTCGAGTTCGTAGTTTCGGGTTGTTGGGCTTTGGCTTCAGGTTGCATGATATTAAGGGCATGCTGTTAAATCCCTAAACCATACATAAGCCCTGAACCTTAAGCCCTACAGAAACTCTAAATTCTGCAACCTACTTCTGAAGCTCTTCCAACCCTAAACCCTTAACCCGTTTGAAGAAGGCCCAGCAAAGGCCGCTAAGCCCAATGCCTTTGCTGGAAGAGCTCTCGAACGATCCCCTGAAAGAAAAGCAGTATGTAGCCCAAGGGATCCCAAGTATGAGACCCTCTTGGTCGTAGCGACAGAAAGCTACGAATGCAAATGTGTCTGAATACCTATTATGCATGCGGCTGCAGGCTACTGGCAACCATAGTAGGAGCAAGTGATTATGTCTTGCTTCTTGATGGTCAGTATGGTCTAGCCCATAGAATTCCTAAAAGCCCCATCGAGCCCCAAACTTGCCTGGAATCCGAAAACCCTGAGGCAGTTACTGCATACATCTACAAATATATACATATACATATATACATGTGTATATATATATATATATATATTATATTTGGGTTGTTTAGGGTTCAGGGCTTCGGGTACATAGGGTTTAGGATAGAGGGTTTAGGGTAATTGTATAGCTTATACTGCTACAGGGTTCAGGGCTCAGGATAGGGTTCAGGGTTTCCTGGCGCCTTTGGGAAATTCCCAGGCCGAGCGTGGTGGCAGCCAACGCTGCGGAAGCAGCTGCACTGGCGACCACGCACGCGGCCCAGAGGGCGATGGCTAAACCATAAACCCTACATGTCAAAAAACACCCTCAAGTCCTGCTCTGCGTGCGGAGTGAGAAAGGGCCATTACACTAAAAAAAAACACCCTTTAACCGAATTCAACCAAGCCTTAACCACCCCTAAGCCTCACTTAAACCAGTCTCCAAAAGCTTTAAGCAAGGTTGCAGGCTCACGACTGAGCATGTGGCCTTCAAGGTTCACTAGAAGGGTCAAGGAATGCGGTTTAAGGGTTTAGAATGTAGGGCTCAGGGTTTAAGTTACGGAGCAAGCAGGTGGTGGCAACAGCGCTTGTAATCAGCAGACATAGTTCACATTATCCTACTGTAGCAGTATGTACTATACAGTATGTACAGCTTTTTATCCTCCATACCAGGTACATATTACAGGAGCTCTAATAAGAAGCATTCCGACCCATACACTGCACTAATCCTTCAAGTAGGCCATTGCACTGATCCTTCAACTCAGAAGGCTCAGGAGTTGTCTCAGAGGACTGGCCGGGTTTATAGTTGCGAAGGCTCCCGGTCTGAAAGAAGGTTCGGCAGCGTGGCATGATCATCCAGGAGGAACTGCTCCTCCTGGCTCATGAGATGCCAAGACTAAGAACCTTCTGCGCCTAGTGCACTTTTGCACTGTAGAAGATGATGGTGAGCGGGCTGCAATCCAGCACTAGCGGCGCGACTTGCTTCGGTTCATTGCGCTTCGCTACCTGGCCCTTGCCAGACCGTCATTGCTGCCATCAGACCACTCTGGGAGGATCATGGGACTTAGTAAGTAAGGTTATAATAAGTACCCTAGTTGGGGTTATAAGTGTAGTTACCTCAATTATAACTCTAGCTAAGTCCCATGACCCGTTAAGCTTCCTTCATGCAGCTGGGAACAGGAGATGAGAGGGCTGCAGCGTGAAACTCACATTATTGCCTATCCACCCTGCGGTCTTGGTGCAAAGCCCGGATCTCAAGGCAGCGTTCCCTGTCCTTTAATAACAGCAGCCCTGAACTCGAATGACTCAGATCCACCCGTGCTAGCCCCCCGCACCATTTCCTAAACTTCGTCTCCTGTGAAACTCTGGGCCGCAAGGAGGATTTCGCACTAAACCCTAAACCCTAAACCCTAAACCCTAAACATGATTTGGGCTTAGGGTTGCAAGGTTCAGGCGTTTGGGGTTCCAGGGTTTAGGGCCATCGTATGCAGGGCAGTGATCGATTGCTGTTGTTGCGGACAGGTCCTGAATACGGGCTGATCTTGGGTTTGTAATTTAAATTTGGGTTCCAGGATTTGTTTTGGGTGCTTTGAGTTTATAGGAGTGTGTGCCTAGCTTTGTGTGTCAGTGTGTGTGTGTGTGTATGTGTGCGTTTGCTTGCATTTCAAGCTTTGCCCAACTCCGTCATGCACTGGTGACCTCAACCGCTTCCTCAACCCCAAACCAGATTTTCCAAGACTCCAAAGCCTCAAAGCCTAGGCAGCCCTACATACACCTGACAAGCATGAAGTTACGAAGTGCAAGCGTCTTAGTCGCTGAAAACCCAAATGCCTCAAAAGCGCTTGGCGCTATGTAAGTTCCCGCAATCCGTAAACCCCGAAAGCGGCAAGCCCGTAAAGCCGCAAGACGTCACTCAGTGCGAGTATTTGTATACATGAATCTACCCCCCCCCTCTACCAAAAAGGTGCAGCCCAAATCAAAAGCTACAGACCCTACTCCGTAAAGCCAAAGCCCAGACTCGGAAAGGCCCCCCGAAATGCTCGTTTTAGGGTTTAGGATTTGATCCCTACCATTAGTTCAAGCGAACCCCCAACCAAACCGCTTGCCGACCCGCACTTCACGAACCCTTAAAGCCTACAGAATCCACATAGCTTTGGAGCCCGCATCGACAACACCCTAAACTTCAAAGTAACTCTGAAACCTCCTAAACCTTACCTACAGTCGAAACTTCAAAATCACACACCCTAAACAACCCTGAACCCCTAAACCCTAAGCCCTAAACCCCTAAACCCTCAGCCCCTAAACTCGAAACCGCTAAAAAAAACCCTCAGCCCCTAAACCCTAACCCTTACACCATAAACCCTTAAACCCTAAACCCTCAAAACCCTAAGCCCTTCATGACAAAAAAAGCTTCAGCGTCGCCCGCTCAGGTGCGGTGGTCCTCGAGCCCCGAGATGGGGTCGCATCCTCGAAGAGGCATCCCAGGGTTTTGGGGGGTTTAGGGTTTAGGGGTTTAGGGGTTTAGGGTTTAGGGTGCAGGGGTTCCTTTAAAGGGATATATAAGGGGCTCTTTAAAGGGTTCCTAGAGACCCCAATATCCCCATTAATAAACCTTAAATCAGGGATCCTACTATAATTTAAGGTATATCCCTTAATTAAGGAATACACCTTAAATCAGGGATCCTACTATGTTTTAAGGTGTATTCCTTAATTAAGGGATATGAGATTCTCTGGGTTTAGAGGGTCGGGTGTAGGGGTTCCTTTGATAAAAGGGAAGCCATAAAAGGCGCCCTTTAAAGGCATCTGTATAGGGCTTCGGGGATAGAGGGTAGGCTTTATGGGTTTCGGGCTTTTTTTCCGGAGTTAGGGTGTAACTTGGGTTTATGGACATGCAGGTTCTACCGAGGTTCTTCGAGGGTCCTACAAGTAAAGCCTAACAGAGACAAGGGTTTAGGGTTATGCGTTCTACGGTTGATGATATAAATCCTGCATGACCCATAATAAGGAATATACCATAATAATTCCCATATATTCCCTATTATGGGTCATGCAGGATTTTTGTCATCAACCGTATAAGGGGTCTTCGAGAGTCCTAGTAGGCTTTCATAAGGCGCTGCTCCATTTGTTGTGCTTAGGGTTTAGGGCTTAGGGTTTAGAGTTTTAGGGTTTAGGGCTTTGGGTTTGGAGTTTTAGGGTTTAGGGCTTTGGGTTTAGAGCTTTAGGGTTTAAGGCTTTGGGTTTAGAGTTTTAGGGTCTAGGGCTTTGGGTTTGGGGTTGAGGGTTCAGTATGTTTTGGTATGGTGGATGGTTTTGGGGCATTGCTTGGAGCTTGCTTGGGATGTGCCAAGGTCTCAAAAACGGGAATGACATTGGGGCAGGTTGTATAAGTTTAGGGTTGAGGATTTGGGGTTTACCATCTACTTAATCGGGCAGTAGGGTAGGTGAGCTGCGGAGATTCCCATGGTTCAAGTCCTAGGGTTTCGAGCTTAACCTAAAAAGGGTGCACGTATACCTATCATAGCGTAAAAACTTTACATTACGTGATGCTTAATTGAAGTCCTCCTTAATGTAGGTACTGGACTGTATAGGGCCAGAGTACATACTATTTGGGTACATGGACCGTTGAGGTTACGGTTTAGGAGTGGCGGAGGCACAGCAAAGCAAACCCTTTTCATCGAAGGATCATCATAGCGCAGCAGGCTTACATACGGTTGATGATATAAATCCTGCATTACCCATAATAGGGCATACACCATAATTCCCATAGTTTAGGGTCCTGAAGGTAGTGCAGGATTTATATCACCAACAGTAGCGCAGCAGGCTTACATAGCCCGGTCTTTGGGCCCAATCTCAGGCATAAGACGAAACAGCTTCCCAGACGATCCTCGCTGTTGTGACAAAGTCTCGAAACCCCAAACCCTGAAGCCTAAACCCTGAACCATAAACCCCAAACCCTAAACCCCAAACCATGTGTGGGAGGGCTCAAGGCTTCCAGTTTCATGGAGTTTGGCGGCTACTGCTTTTCGGGCGATTTCCTGTGGCGGTGGCAGTTGGAAGAAGACATGATACTGGTAGCCGCATTGTGAAAGCTCGCTTCGGCTAGTTCACTACCCCCAGTTTTCCTGCCAGGTGCTCGCATGCTGAGAGGTGCTTCTCTGCGAAAAAATGATCCGATACTTCTGCAGTGTCAATGCAGTTGTTTAGTCAGTTGGTCCTTACTGCCAATCTAAATTCGCCCCCGGCCCTATGAGTAAATATTTTAGAGCCTTATAATAAGTATGATAACCCCAAGATTTCTTATAAGTCTACTTATTACCTATAACCCTATACCCTAACCCGTTATATTTACTAAGTCGTAGCCGGACCTCGGGTGCAATGCGGGGTTTGGCTTTCCAAGCCCCAGGAGTGGTGGTGTCTGGTGCATGAGGAGGAACAACCTGCTGCGGGCGAAGGAGATGACGTGAATCGTGGTTCTGATGATGTTATCCACAAGATGACCGTGATGATGATCATGAGAACAACGATGATGTCGGGATTCCTGCGATGATGATGAAGTGGAGGGGCAGGATTCTCGCCGTCATGGTCGTGTCGATTGCAATGTCATTGCGGAAGGCTGTAACGCAGGGATGGATTTGACGCTTTCACGGCTTAGTGTGTTCACTCCGCTTTTCAGGAAAGCAGATTGCAGATGCGTGCTGGCATGTTTTTTGAGGAGGCCAGGTGAATCATCATCCGTAAGCCCAAACCACAAGTATAACATAGTGTGATCCACGCTTAGATGCTGTATTATATATATATATATATATATATATGTGTACACACAAATATACATATATACATGTATGTATGTATGTATATATATATATATGTTTGTTTGTGTTTAAAGAGTTCCTGGTGTAGAATTTAGGCTCTGTTCAACTGCCATGCACGTTGAACTCTCGCCCGTTCCCCGAGACTGCTTTCCACCTTTGCCGACAAAAGCTTCAAGTTCGTAGCGGTCGGAGATTCCGAGGGTTTATAGGGGTTTAGGGTTTAGGGGCCAGAGTTTTCGAGGGTTACTGTCATGTCGCCTAAGGGTTACGAGTTACCAAAAAGTTCTCTTATATTCTTGTAAGGGTTACTGTTTATAACGGCTGAGATCTGTCGGTCCTGACACCCCAATCGCATCTGTGCTGCCGAAGAGTTTGATGATCAAGCACAGCTACATGCTTCCTGCTGCATACCGTGCCAAGCCCCTCTGAGAACGGCACGTCTCTCCTGAAACCTACATAAAGTTAAGATGCCTCCCTATCCCGTCAAGGAACCCTAAGGGCCACAACGAAAGCGCTCTAGCCTCGCATGGCTGATGACTGTACCAGCCGGACAGGCTCCGAACAACTCGTGCTGATGCTTTTTAGGGTTTTGCGGTTTACAGACCCTAAACCCAGGAGAGTTTTAGAGTTTAGGGCCCTGGGCCTTAAACCTTGGAAATGTCGAGGGATTAATACAGGTTTTTTGATTCCGGCGATCTTACATGCTGAAACTAGGCAACCCGTCCGTCTCGACCCTGCGCCCATCAAACCTAAAGCCTAAATCCTTCTGGAGGGGTAGCATCTAGGGTTTGAAGGTTGAGGGTCTTGGGGTCAAGGATTTAGAGTGGGTCCACCAACGCCTTCTAACCAGGAAGCTAGTTTTTGTTCGCAGACTTTATATGCTAGCAATCAAGGGTCTGCTTGGAGGATCATGGGACTTAGTAAGTAGGGTTATAAGTATCTCAATTGGGGTTATAAGTAATTATAACCCAGTTACGAAGTCCCATGAACCTTTAAGTAGACCCTAAACCCTTGACCCTTAAAGGGAACCCTGCTCCAAACTCTATAGTACCCTTTGAAGGAACCCCAAACCCAAGTTACTAAGTCCCATGAACCTTTAAGTAGGGCCCGGGAGTGGAGCTCGAGCCTTCGCGGACCCGAGAATGCTCATTTTGGATTTGCATAGCTCGAACATGCGTTTACTTAAAGGGTCACGGGACTTAGTAACTGGGGTTATAATTAGGGTAACTATACTTTTCATTACTTATAACCCAATTAGGGTACTTATAACCTTACTTACTAAGTCCCATGATCTTCCAAGTAGGGTTTAGGGTTAGTGGTTTGCGCCAGGTCAAATCACCAGACATGCTTGGTAAGCTGAATATAGGGGGCTAAATACCTAGACTTTTTTGGGGGTCCCTTCCCATAATTAAAGTATAGTATAGTAGGCCCCAAAACCTTATTCTGGCTCAAGTTGAGGTAGAGCCTCCTCGCGGTTTGAGCCGCTAATCTTCTGTAGACTTACGTGGCATTACTCTCTGTAGTTGCCATGGCAGGAGATTACAAATCCTACCTCGTTATCCCTGGGCTAGGTGCAACTCCTTATGACAGGATTGGGCCTAATCCTGTGATCCAAGCAAATGCGGTTGCCCCCGTTGCTGATAACATAAATTATATGATAATCCCAGGAGAGGAAGCATGCTCTGGCTTCCCGTGTCGTTTGCGGCATTTGATCTGGGAGAGGTTGCTCAAGAGGGCATTTTGGACTTGGTGCTTCGGAATTCCCTTTGGTTTCAGACTTGAAATGATCAGTAAGATTGGGCCCTTTGGATTTCTGCTCCTTTGGGTCACGCTTCTGTCAGACCTACTGCACAGTATATGCGCTCAGGAACTGCTGTGGCGACGTCATAGCACCGTTGCCAAGCGTATCACTCGGCATTGTAGCCTGTGCTTTGGAGGATTTGGTTCATTTGTACTTGGATCGCTCTTTAGGCTCGGGCTTCTGTGGATTATTCTGAGTTGTGGAGATTGGCGTGGCCTTGTTCACTTTGACCCCAAATCGTCACTTCGGAAACCGCTGAAGCATAAGCCTCGAAGGTTTACAAAGAACGATTCTAACAGATATGAAAAGTTTGACGTCCGAGTTGATGCATTCTTTCATGGTTCCAAAAAGCCCATGCATGTCAACAACATTATTGGAGATGGCAACTGCTATTGGCGAGCGGTTGCTAAGCAAACCAGATGGTCTTGGTATAAGCTCAAGAAAATGACCCTTGCAAACATGATGCAATATGCTCTTGAACATAAGGATGAAAACCTTGCTTGTGAAATCAAAAAGCTTCAAAAGAAGAACGCTTGGGCTAACATGTTAGCCATACTCGGAACGGCATCTTTCCTGCGCACTGAAATCCGCGTATGCACAAGGCAGCACATCCTGCGATGCTCTCCGATTCAGCCTGCCCCGTCTGCAATTCAGAAGTTTCGGGGAGTTGTCAATTTGCAGTTCGATAACAGTCACTATAGTGGGGTTGACGCTGGGGATGTCAGGGATAAACTTGCTAGAGTTAATCCCGCGCTGAGTTGCAGTCTTTCTGAATTCTGTGGTGTCCCGTTTGAAAGCTACCCTGCTGATACGGTCATCAGCAGACACAGAACCAATTAGCAAAGGGGGTATAGCAGAAAGAATAAGACACTTGATGATGCAAGTAGCGTGAGAAACTTGAACATCTACCATTCCCTTAAGCAACAGGCTCAAGCTGCAATTCATTGCCGCTGTTTCACCATGAATGCTCCAAAGAAGCCGGCGTATAGACCTGCTGGTAAAGTCCCAAGTGGGCAAAGAAGGCCTGGAGAGACCAGGTTGGTGAAAACCAAGGCGGGGCCCAAGGAACCACCTGGCCCACCTCCGGGCTTTAGGAGGCCGCCCACTCCACCTATGAGGCCCTCGAGAGCACCAGACTTCGAATTTAGGGTATCTGCACGGCGTCCTCCGACGCCGCCAATGAGACCAAGTAGAACTCCCGATCTCATCGAGGTTCCATCCGTCCCTGTAGCTACGATGCCCAGACCACCTAGTTTCCACAGACTCTTGTCGCACTCGGAAGTCGCCTCGGCATCTTCGACAAGATCAGCTGCTGCCCTACACCTTGAAGGAGCCCATTCGTCAACATCGCCAGCGCCAGTGACGACATCACCATCGGCATCGATTGCACCGACAACTTCAACTACACCGACCAGGCCTTCGTCATCAACCATCGGTTCTATGCCAGGCATGCGACTCGAGAAGGTTGTAGTTTGCTCTAGAGGCACTAAGGTCCAGGATGGACGTTTCACTCCGGTGGCACCGGAAAGCAAATACTCCGGTTGGGACACCATTGTAAAAAGCCTGCACCACATCTCGGAAAGGGACCGAGATAGATCTTTGCAAAAACACATAGGTGTTAATGGGCTCATAATCCAACAAAGCCTGAGGCAACCCGCTTTTGTAAAAGCGGTAGCTGAAGCTGTAGCCCAAACCCTACGTTCCAAATCTGCTGTGCTCGTATTTGAATGTGTCCAAGGCCGTCATCCGTCTGTGTCGGCAGCTGTCATTGCCACTGAGGCCCTAAAGATGTTTATCCGACCAGGGGCGATCACAACTAGGCACCTCTCTTCCTTTAATTGGAAGGGCACCTGTGCTGGAGAATGTGATGCCTGCAAAGCGGGACCGGAGCCCGATTTCCAGAATTCAATCCTTGAGGTAGTTGATGCTGTTCGTGAGCTCATGCGAGATTATATGGTGCATGCTGCTGGCAGTGCTTGCTGTGATAGGTCCTTTCGGGGAGGTTGTGAGGTTAAAGGCATCGCCGAGGATGTTGTGCATGCATGCTGGGTGCTGAAATCGCCTGCTGGAGCTTATCAAGCCAACACAAGCACAGCAAAAATAGACGGCGGTAACAAACTTTTTCATCAGCTAAGGAAAACTGACCGACAACTTCGCGATGCATCTGTGTGTGACAGCTGTGATCTTCGGTGGTGGCCGAAACTTTGCAAAGATGATACAAGCATATCACTCAGCAAGAATTCAGCACAAAAAATTCCTTCGACAGAAAATGAGCCCTTCTACCCAAGGCATGATGATCGAGAACGGCGCGTTGCATCTGCATCTGCCGGCGCTGCTTATGCTATGGATCCGAGCCTTTGTCCTACAAAAATGCACATACCGAGCATCCTTACGCACAAGCAACATATTTACAAGAAGGTACTTGAGTGCATTGGTGCCGCATACATGATAGCCTCGAGCTGTGCGGAGGTTTGGGATGAAGTTGTACTTGAGTTTCTTGGGTGTTTTTCTTTTTCGGATTGGTCGATTGC